TGTTTGCTGGGGTGAGGGGAAATGAAATGCTTCTGCTTTAGATGATCCACTTATGGCTCCCTCCCTGGCCACTTAAATGAGCAATGCAAAGTAAATAAGAAAAAGACTTGTTTGCATAATTGTTCAGCAAATACAGTAATTTTGAGCTTACAACACAGTTGTATTTAAAACCTGGCAACGCTGCTCCCAGTCCCTTTTCCCAGGCTCATCTTTACACAGCTAGAGGTTGGGAGTGATGAATTCCAGCGGCTGGAGAGCTGGAATTGCATCCAAGTGTCTATTGACAAATCAATCACAATGTAAAATAGTATCAAGTATGTCAGCCTGAATGAGGAGCTAAGAGGAGGCCAGGGAACATAGGTGATCTTATTTTACATGTCCCACGGCCTCCTCTCAGCTCCTCATTCAGGCCCACGTTCTTGATATTATTTTACATTTCAATTAGTCAACAGACATTTTGGGGAGAAACTCAAACTCTTGAGCACACAGAATTCATTACTCCTGACCTTTAAGTGCACAAAGATTAGCTTTGAGAAAGGAACTGGGAACTGGGGACCAGGAATAAGGAGCCCATGTCTGCATCATGGCCAGAGCCATGTCCTTCTGGCCTCTGGACCCGTTTGCCTGGATGCCGCAGCAGCAAGCCTCACCCAGGCTCAGGTGCAGACAGCCTCGTGGCAGAGCTGTGTAAGGCAGGGAAGGCATTGCCTGCCCGAGCATCACACCCAGCTGTCTCTGCCTCCCCAGCTTGAGGGCCTAAGAATACATTGAGAGCCGGGAGCTTCCCCAAGACCAGAGCAGGGCTCTGGAGCTGCAGGAAGATGCGTGTTAACTGCTCTGTTGATTTCCCCCCGCAAGCAATACAAGGCCTGAGGAAATACGGCTGTGCCTGACCCATCCTGCTTATTTCCTCCATTTCCCCCTTACCTGCTGTTGTATTTATTTAAATATTGTTTCTTGGCCTTTTGGCTAAGATCAAGTGGGACATGGGGGCATTTGAACCTGGGGCTTCTGGGTCTGGGGCTTGCACATAGGACACCTGCCTGGATTTGGGGAATATCCAAAGTCCCAGACGAATGAGTCTGGGAGGGAGGACGCTTGCCCTGTGGTCGAGCCACACAGACTTGCCGATCAAGTTCTGCTCAGGCGAATTTTGGAACTTGACTATTGGGCCTTGCCCAATTGAATTTGGAACAGATTTGGCCTTGAGCAAGATAAAATTCTATTTAAATTGTAATAGCGTTCAAGCAGCGGCTGGCTTTTCTGGCTGGATGGTGTCTAGTAGAACAGAGCCTTGATCAGTTGCACTGGAGCATTTAAGATCATGTGGAGGGACCACCTGAATTTATGTAGTCCAGCCCCTTGCTCAAAGGCAAGAGCATCCCTGACTCATTTAGGTGCTCCTGGGAAACAAAAAATAAAGACACATATGTGGGTTTGTGCACATGGATGCCCCCTGCTACACCCACTTTCTTAGCAGCGACTCCTAAGAACAACAGGGAAGGACAAGATATATTGCTGTTTGGCCCATGTAAAAAAAAAAAAAAGCAGAACCTGGCAACTTTTTCTTTGAAACCTCCTCTGTCCCTCAGATTTGTGGGAAGGAGATGAAAAACCACTTTGAGAAACCTGCCCAAAGCTGGCCAAGTTCCAGCGTTGCAAACTCTCATGATTTTTGGCATTGCTGCTACAGTCTACACTTTGGCAATGCGAAAAACTTAGCTCTTTTACACATACATGCAAATATATATAAAAGAACTGTTTTTCACATCCCCAAAGCATAGATTTTAAGAGCAATGCCAAAAATGATGAGTTGCTAACACTGAAGTTCTAAACCTTTGAAATACTGCACTGTGCTCATGCTCAGTAGATGAGAACGGTTCTTTTGACGGTATCACAAAAATGCTAACCACAGTGAATATGATACTCCTTGAAGATTAAAAAAACCCATACATGATGTCCCCCCTCAAAAAACCCTATGTTAAAAGAATGTTAAGGTTGCAAAGTCAAAATGCTCAAAATGTAGGTAATTCCAAATGAAGGTAACCTGTGGAAGCTCAGTTTAGCAGCCCCGTGGTGCCTGTGTCATTATGACAGTCATTAGCTGTAATTACAGCTTCCTAGCTCAACAGTCTTACTCTTATGCTCAGGGTCAAATTGATCGCCATATTTGAGGTCAGGAAGGAATTTTACGCCATGGTCAGGTTGGTTTGGACTGTGGAAATTTGTCTTTCTCTGTAGCAGGGGCTGTGGCCCTCTACTCCCAATCTCTCAAATCTACATTGAGAACATTTCATAGAAGCAGGATGTTGGCTGCTGTGGTTCCCCTGCTTTACCTGTGCCAAGTTAGGGTGCTGGGTTTGTATTGCATCAGGGTTGATGGTAGTCTTACATAGAGTTTAGATTATGGTTTGTATAACGTAGTTTGGATAGGAATGATCCTGTCTCAGACAGGGGGGTTGGACTAAATGACCTCTGGAGGTCCCTTTCAGCCCTATTGCTCTATGGATGTATTCCAGATGACTGCCTGCCTCATCCAGTGCCCAAAATAGCAGAACAGCCATAGCAGAAGTACTCGCATTGCAGCTCTGCCAGATTCTAATGAACATGCAAATGCAGCTAAATACCTCTCATCAACAACCTCAGACACAACATAAGAAGCAGAAGTACCCAAAAAAGATGGTGCTCATTGGATGAGCTATTCACTATTTTCTCCTTTTAGTTCAGCTTGAATCCCTATGTTTGATTTGTCACACCCAATTCAAACTCTGCTCTGAAGACAGCTATAATTTCCACCTAGGGTTTCCTATAGGCCATAACAGAAGCGCTTATGGCGCAGCCCCATCATATTCCAACAAAACTGCAAATTCTGCTAAATACCTTGTCACAAAGATGCAAAAAAAGGGAAAGGGCTTCCTATAGCTGCTACAGTGTAGCATATGGCATGTAAGTGCATCATATGCTTAAATGAACTTATTTTTAGGAAATTCTCGGGTATTATTATCCCCAGTTCCATCACTGAGGAAGCAAGTCTCAGAGAAATTAAGGTCAAACCCATTTAATACTTTTAGGTCCCCCCAGTTTGAGACACCTTAAAACACCCCCCCCCCAGTTATATAAGCTCTTTAGATGTCCAAAATACAAGTCCCTTTGACCAGGTCTCAAGAAATACCCAAGAAGGAAATCTGTTAAACTACCTGACCTGTGCAAAGCTTAAGTGACGTGACTCATAGGATCTTTTGGGTCAGTGTTAAAATTCTGCCATCTCCCACCTTTGAGGCATTGCCTTTGTAATCACCATGTTCTTTCAGTGTCCCTGGGGTGTGTGCGTGCGCGCACCTTCTATGCGACTCACCCGCAGGGTGACTCAGTGCAGGCTGCACCTCCATCAAGAGATGCAGCAAGTGAAGCTGCTGTCTTGACATTCATTTCTTGTCCCCCGTCCAGAGACAGGGGCAAGCTGAGTGCTGCTGTGCCTCGCCGAATTCCTGTAGGGAAACCAGGGGTGCAGAGGGTAGCTCTGTTGATCTAAGATCGGGGTAAACAAGGCTCTTTGAGTATCTTGCACTGCCCCCTAAGCCTGCCCAGCCAGCACTGCAGGCTCTCACACCGGTTTCTATGATATGCACTCAGTGGATTAGCGCCCACAGACCACGATGCGCTATTATGGGGGCGGGGAGGCGGGGGAGCCCTATACGCTTAAGCCCCACCTATAAGCATACACGTTCTTCAAGGAACACGGATGCGCATGCGCGAGCCCTCAACTTTCGCTGCGCATGCGGTGAGTCAGTGCCTCACTTCCCACAGTTCCTAGAAGCGGGAGAGCCTGTGACGCAGGGGGTGTCAGTCGCTCCACCATGCGTCACGGAGCGGAAGTTACGTACCCCCGATGCGGCGTCTCACGGCGGCTGAGAAGCGTCCGAGGAGCTTCGTCGCGTTTTGATGACGGCATCCGCAGTGAGCCGGAAGTGTTTGAGAGCTGGCGCGGGGCATGGCGTCTGTGGTGCTGAGCGAGGCGGAGAAGGTCTACGTCGTGCACGGGGTCCAGGTAACAGGCTCCCTTCCCTCAGCTGCTCCGCCTCGCTGCTCCCGGGGTGCCGTTTCCCCCCTCCCAGCCCCAGGGAGGTGCCTGCTTCCGGCTCTCGTTCTGTGTGGCCTTCAGGGGCGCGAAGAGACCCCGCAGGCGGACTGGTTTAGGCGCAGGGGATTGCTCTCTGCAGTCTTGGGCTTTGTCTTGTGAGGGAGGGTGGCGCTACGCTGAGTAGCGGGGAAGGGCGTGGGTGCTGTGCACCTTGGAGGCTCACAAACCTGTGTGTGTGCACGTGGGCATACTATGCTTGCTTTGGTGAAAGCTGCCCTGCCTTTCATATCTGTGTAGGACAAGGTTTCATGAGCTGAAGTGTGCTTCCTAAAGTACTATGAAAAGGAAGCCAGGCTTTTCACTAGGGGTGCACCAATAAAGACTTTATAGGCTGTTACTGATAGTTGATTATTCACCAGGCATGTCGGGCAGTACTGATTTGATAACTGATTTACAGGAGCACAGCTGGGTGGTCTGGAGAGCAGGGCCCTGCAATTAAGTCTGTGGAGGCGAAGGGAGTGGGGGGCAGATAGAGGCCCCCTAGGTGAGGGAGCGAGTGGGGCTGGGACCTGGAGCACGGAGTGGGACAGAGCCACGAGTGGCTCGTCCAGGGTATCAGCATCGTAGTGCTTAAAATGGTGGTGGGGGCGTTTGAACTAAAGCTCATCAAATGAGCTTTAGTTCAAGTGCCACTGCCACCCTTTTTAAGCCCAGGGATGCTTTTAACCAGAGCAGAGCCAAGCAAGGCAAGGGTGGATGCAGGTTGCCTGCTGCAGGCTCGGGGCTTTCTACTCTGCTGCCTTTGCCTGGGAGCCCCATGCTGGCCTCACAACTTGCCACCCTCGCTGCCACCGGGTGGCACAGGGCTCCTGGGGAAAAGGCAGCAGGGCAGAGAGCCCTGAGCCCACAACAGGCAGCCTGTATCCACCCTGTGTACAAATTTGGAGGGGCACATGCCCTCACAATGCCTACCTGGGGCTTGCACAGCAGTGGGGGAGCCATCTCGTCCCTCCCCCCAGATCCCTTGGACGAGTCACCCATAGCTCCATCCTGCCCTTGCCCCATGTCCCATTCACCGCTCTGGCTGGGCAGCGACCCTAATCCCTGCCCCACTCCCTCTCTCACCATGAGGGCCTTGATCTCCCTCCCCCATGCCCGCGCCCCCCCCCCCC